GTGGTTTAAAGTGAGTTTTGAGTAAAAGTGTTCTAATAATCTCGGTTAGCTCTAATGCAGCTGCAGAACAGGTGCAGCTCTTCTTCATAATGCATGTTGTCATAATTCACATAAGGTCGCAAGAAAATGTTTTGTTGCATTTTTATAGAAAGACTTTTGATAATAGTTGGGTAAATGTATACTGGGATTGAAGCAATGTGGCTTGGTAAACCTTGTAATGCCAGAATAAAGGCTACTAATGGCTGAATAAAACAAAAGAATAATGATAAAGGAATAATGAGGATAATGTCTCATACCTGGCGGAGGTGTGAAAGGTTCGTCGGGTAAGAACAATAGAATCATGAATGGGGCAGTTTGACGAGACCGCAGGCAGGAGAGCTTAATCAATTTGTGTTGATTGATCGCTGTATATCAATTTTATTAGCCTTTTATTAGTAGGGTTGGGTATCGTTCAAAAATGTTCGATGTCGATACCGATACCTTGAATTCGATACCGGTTCCTGAATGATACTTTTTTCGATACCTATTTTATGAAACCAAGTTTAACAAGATTACATTATCTAAAAAAACCCAAAAAACTTTGGTTTTATTTTTCAGCTTGTTGATGTTTATACAAACTCAAAGACTCATCTCCTGGGCCACTGCACAAAGGAACAAAATGTAACCAACAGAATAAATCGGTGCAAATAGTTTTAATAAAGCTCAAATAGTCGTCAGTATACACATCTGTTAGGCTACATTTACACTAGTTAGTGTTCGTTTTAAAACGCATAGCTCAGACAGAATCATGATTTCTATTTATTTTCCACTGATTTACTGATGAGCATTAGCAGCTTCCAGCGCTGTCTGCCTGTGTTCTCTCTTCCGTGATCGCTGCTCTGACTATTTTTAATTTCAGCAACACAGGGTGTCCGCGGGTCCTTAAAAAGTCTTAATGTCTTAAATAACGTTTTCCTAATATAAGACCTTAAAAAGTCCGATGGGTCTTAAATAATTTTGGTCACATTACCGCTAAAATATTTTAAGTCTGATGGACCTAATGACTTTACAATCATTGGACAGACCGAAGATGTTTTCTCCCCGCGGTAAGTTACTGCGTCATCATAGAGAATTGCAGTAAGTTAGCAGAATACAGAATACAAGCTCGCGCTGAGGCTCACTCTGTTTGTCTCGAGACTTCAGAACAAATGAGCGTGACAGCACACATAAACTCAGAAGAAACACACTGAGGTAAAAATTCAAAATGTTTAGTTTATTCATAACATGATATAGTTAAATAACACCATGACAAGTGAGCTATTTTACTCAATATTCTCACGATGCAAAAAAAACATTCAAAACCTACAGAGTGCACGCATTACGTGAATTCTATGCTCTTTCACTGCATGATTCAGTCTATTAAAATACATTCAGAATGATCACAAATTCAAGACATGGGGGCAGAAAATGTGTATATTTATACCACTTCATATAGTCAATGAAGTTCACACAGAAGAGTGCCTTTTTTTC